ACATAATTTTCTCCAAGCTCATCCATTTTGCTATGAATGGTAGAATCTCATTCTTAATGTTTGCCATAACGAAGCCTTGTTTTTGCCATTCATTTTAGATACAATGACTTCCTTGCTAGAGATCATTTTCCCCAGTACTCTTAGCTGGATCTTTCTATTTGCCTTCAATTTCTCTGGGATTTCTATTGTCTTAGGAGCAGGGGCAAGGGAACAAGGTCTTTGACCATCTCAAACTCTCCTCTCTTATCTGCCACAAGGATTCTTCTTTCCCTTTCCTATCCAGCCAGAGCCACCACAATTCTAATATCCTCCTTCCTTCCTATTATATGGACTTGTTAATTCTGGGTAATACACACCCTTTATTTCCCTTGGGAAATAGCCCTGACCTAAACTGAATGGAGAAATGTTACAGAGGAAGTGCCAAACCAGTTTAAACTAACAGGTGTTTCACAAACCTTAATCTTATTACATGAGTTAGCTTCCTTTAGCCAGAGAAGTTACTAATCAAGTCCTTGCATACCTTGGGGTAGAAAACTACCCGATATTCGATATGCGTTGATAGTGGTCTTCCCTAAGGGTATAGGTGTAAGAAGAACAGCATTCAATTATCCTGGCCAGCGTCTGTGGTCTGGGACCAGTGAGGTCATGAACATTGAAAACAGTATGTCTCAGCTCTCCTGGGACTAACTTGTAACGTGGAGGTGGTTGTGGGTCTGTGAGCACCAGAGCTGTCACAGTCTGGGTAAGCACCTGGCATTGAACATGATGCTAGAGGCTGGACTGCTCTACAAGGGCTCTTCTCTAGCATTCACTGCAACTGCCAGAGATGCACAGTCTCCATCAGTCTCTGTTATAGTGCTCCTGGTGGATCTTTTGGGATGGATGCTATGGAAGGGATGATGTCTCACCTCCTTGTGGCCTATCTTCAGTGCTACCTCATACCTGAGCTCCTCCTTATCTTCAGCCAGGGAGGCCCAATCACTTAAGACTTTCTGCCTAAACTCCATGGAATTGCATCATGGTGCACAGTGATATTGATCTATGTGGCATAAGTTGCTTTTTCCTGACATTCTTAAGGCCACAGGGAATTAAAAATTTATATTATCTGAAGGTGCGATTAGGATAAATTACTGTTTGCACATATACTTTACTGTTTGATACCCAAACACACCACGACCATGTTATGATTTTCTTGTGACTTCTCTTCTTGTCTTCATAGGTCTAAGGCCAACAATAAAGTCATTGCCCTTTAAGAAGCAAAGATGACGCAGTTGTCTGAAATGACAGTCACAGTCTGCACACAACACCTATTCACCTTGCCCCTCCTCTCATTCACTTCTAGGCATCACAGTCACAAAGGCTTTGGTTTTGAAGAGCTCCAGGGACAACTTGATAATTTTCTCAGTATTACCAAGAC